GGGCCCCCCTCCCCCAGGCCCGCCGGCCGAGCCGGGGCGGGGGCGGGGGGAGGCGCAGGGCCCCCGCGGGGCCGGCCCGGCCCGCTGTCCTGAGGGAGCGGGAGGGGGAAAGGCGACCCGCCCCCGCCGGCTGACCTGCACAAGGGCTCCCGGCCGGCGACGGGCTGCAGCGGGACCGAGCAAGAGTCGCTTCCGGGTTCTCTAAGCCAGCTCTCGGAGACGGGGATGGTGGCCGGAAGTCGAGGCGACGAGCTTCCGCTTCCTTCGGTTACCACAATCAACCCGGAAGTTTTTCCTGGGCTGCCCGTGAGAGTGGGGCCCCAGCTGAGGCTTCGGACAGTCACGACGGCCTGCGCGCGCCGCTTGCCCGTCCCCCTAAGCGGCGGCCTCGTTCCTTGCCGGGGCTGCGAAGGTTTCGAAGAGCTTCAGGCAGCCTTCGTAGCTTTATAAGCCCCACGCCAACGCGGGAGACGGGTTTCCTTTGCGGGGAGGCTTCGGCGGGACGAGGCCTGTGGCTCCAAAGGGCGGCTTCCTCTGCCGCAGCGTTTCTCAAACTTGGCGGCCTTAAGACGTGTGGACTTCAACTCCCAGAATTCCCCAGCCAGCATGCCAAGTGTGAGAAACGCTGCCCTACCGCATCATTTCATTAGGCCTGCCTCCTTGCTCGATTAATCACTGCCTGCAATCCCGCCCGCCCTCCTTCCAAGAATGATCCTGGAGTGACGGGAAGGGATCAGGCTGTCCCTCGAGTCGGCCCCCCGCAGGCACTGATAAAGACTCGTCAAAATGCTACCTACAGAACGAGCAGCATTGTGTTTCCAGGTTCTTTCTTTTACTTCTCAGAAACTGATGGGGGAAGAAGGCTTTTGCCCTTTGGTTTTACTTTTGGGCTTTGCCATAGGCCTCTGTTCGATCAGAGAGTACAGAAAGCGAAACAGAAGTGTGTTAATTTCACCATCTGGCTCCCAAAAGGTAAACACATTTTGGTACATGGTAGTTCTTGCTTAACGACCACAGTTGGAACTGGCAACTAAGCAGTGAGATCATTAAGCAAGACATCACAAGTGCGATGGGATTGACCTCACGTCCGCCACAATCATTAAGTGAGACATCCCATGACGACGATTTGTGATTTTGCTGTTGGCTTCTTCATTGACTCTGTTTGTCAGAAGCCATCCGTGAAGCATGCAAATGGCGATCTCATGATGCTGCAGTGGTCATAAACATCCAATGGGTGCGAAGCGCGTGAATCTTGATCACTTGACCACGGGGACACTGCAAGTTGTAAATAAGAAGACAGGTCATGAAGTTACTTTTTCAGTGCCATCGTAACTTTGAATGGTTGCTAAACAGGGCAGTCGTTAAGCGAGGACTATTTACATTTTGTGTGGTGTTCTGATGTTGTTCCTGGGATCTGTTGGAGCCCCTCGCCCAGCTTAGGAGTCACGGCCCCAGGTGTTCCTACCACCACTGGGACCACTCTGGCCTTTACTTTCCACTGTATGTATGTATGTACGTATGTATGTAGTGTTATAGAGCAAGCTTGATGTAACAGTTAAGGCACCAGGCTAGAAACTGGGAGACTCTGAGTTCTAGTCCTGCCTTAGGTACAAAGCCAGCTGGGTGACCTTGGCCAGTTACTTTCTCTCAGCCCTAGGAAGCAGGCAATGGCAAACCACTTCTGAAATCTTGCCAAGAAAACCACAGGGACTCATCCAGGCAGTTGCCAGGAGTCAACACTGACTCGAAGGCGCACACACACACGCATTATTGTATTGTATTATATATGCTGCAAATTTTATTTTAATGGCATTATATATTTCAGCTACTGCTTTTTCCAGACCACAAATTCTAAGCCTTAAGGACACCCTTTTTCCTCCAGCAGGAAATGCATCCCATAATTCCATCCACTCTACTTCAGTCACATACAGCCACTTATGGTTAGTTCAAGAATAACGTTATTTCTAGTTTCAAAAGAGCTACCTCTATGGAGCTGTAACTAATTTGATCAGGGATTAGCAACCTGATGCCTCCCAGTTTTTGGATTCAACTTCTATCCGTTCCAGACAGCACAGCTAATGCCAAAGGACTGTGAGAATTGTAATCCAAAAGGAAGTTTTCCCAAGTTACAACTGTAGCTTCTTTGAATCTCTTTACAAGCTTGAACCTCACAAATCTGAGACGGTAGAAATAAATTTCAAAAGAACCAAACCAGTTTCCTTGTGAAGACTTTTTACTACCATATTAACTGTATGAAGAACAATAAATTTAATAGCTAAAGATCAATATATAAGCATTTGTCTTAAAAGGAAGTCTAATCCTTTTCTTCAAAATGACATAAAAAATATTTTTGGTGAATTAATCAATTGAATATTCTTTCCTTTATTAACAGAATTCTTCTATTGGAAGTGATACAATTGTTTATTAGCAGGTTTCCAGTTAGCTTCTTTTTTTTTTTCCATCCTTCCAAAAAGTCAACTAAACGATGAGGCAGCACCAGTAGAATTGGATGCAACTCAGGAAGCATTCTGTCCAAACAGCAATGGTGTAATTTAATTTAAGGATGAATTCCACAATTAGATTATATTTTCCTGCCAATTACTTTTTCATAACTAAGGGCTCCAATAGTGTTGCTTGTCTAATTGATTTCTATGTTGTTGCAGGGAGCAGTGAGGATTTTGTATTTGAAAACAGGGTCTTTGACATCCTTGAAATTGTTGCTGGGAAGAGAAGAATAGCCCATTGCCAGGCCTGGCATTATGACCTGATCTTCGATGGATGATGTTGGCTGCAGGGTGATGTTGTGGGCTGTAAGCTTGGTTCCCTCCATTGTAACAGGTGACGAGATTCTGGTTCCAAGTCTGAGAACGTTTCCTTAAAGAAAAAGCACTAGATTTCAGAGCAGAACAACTGATCTTGAAGAACTTGTGCTGCCAACCTTGGGCCCCTCAACTTAAGGTTTTGAACTTAATGGATCAAATTGCAGTGGATGAGCCCCCTGCTGCACCTCCACCAAGCTTTGAAGAGACACATTAAAGCAAATAAAAATGTTGCTGATAGCTATTGGTAAATGCCAGGACTCTATCAAACAAGACTTGATTTAGTTACAGGGTGATCTCCACTCCACCCACAAATCACTGCAGATTCATCTCAAAGGCCGTTCTTTTCATTCTGTCATCATTTTATTCAGGGAAGCAGCGGCAATTAACAGTACAGCAACTCTTGCTGTGATTTGCATATTGGAGGAGCAGAGAGAGCCAAGTTTGGTCCAGGGGTTAAGGTGCTGGATTAGAAGCCAGGAAACCATGGGTTCTAGTCCTGCCTTAGGCACATGGGGGTTGGCTGGTGACTGGCAGCTACTGTCTGCCCACCCTAGGAAGAAGGTACTGTCAAGCCACTTCAAAAAGGGACCTGTCCCTGTAATCACCAGGAGCCTACTCTTCTTAATGGACAATAACAACAACACAGCAGATATAAAAGTATTCAGTTGATTTGCTGCACTTCATCACTTCCTGGAACTTGGGTCACCACACAAATTAGGGAGGGTTTGTGTATTTGGGGCATTGTGAGAGTCTGCTAGATACGTAAAAAAGCCAGTATTTATTGCAAAATTAGAACATGAAAGTTTGGAACAGCATTTGTCCCAGGAATCATACTTTCTCTCTCTCTCAGCATTGTCAAAAAGGAATATTGGAAACCCAGATCCTTATTCTAGAAATAGTTATGCAAAATCAAGGTAACATTCAGATTTCAATTGCACAATTCATCATGACAATTAATTTATGACAGTCTGTCGTGGTATAACATGGAACAGATGTCCTCTTCATCTAAGACCAACCACAGACACCATGCCTTGTCTGAAGATGTTTCCATGAATCCTCAGCAATTTACCTGTGTTGGTTTCGTCCACCTCTCCTTAATGGAAGATGCCTGAAACAGAAAAAAGGCAAAAACTGCTGATGCACAAATAACTCGGGACCATTTGTGGAAAGAGAGCTTTGCAGTGGCCAGCGTGAGCTCTTCCTTCCCTTTGTTTTCTTCCCTGGGACTTTAAGTCAGCCTGAAGAGCACTGGACCACACCTGGTTTCCAGTTATAAAAGCTGACAGCACCACAATGGGGTGTTGTTGGGGCAAGATTTGTGTCATGTGGGAGAGCAGTGGAGTAGCCATCAGCTTAGCAGGCAACTGGTGGTGAAGGAGAAGCAGGTTGGACTTCAGCAAACCACAGCAGACAAGCTGACAAGAGAAGCACAGCCCCGCAGCCTCATCAACGCAGCAGAGATGCTAACAGCTGACAGCCAGCTGATAAAGGACCTTCTTTCTCCACCCCAGCACAGTCTGAGAAACTGCAAAGCCAAGAGCAACAGAAGCCAACTAACTTGAAGGGGTAAATAGTGGCTAAAGTTCATTGATCATGACTGTTACTAAAGCAATCTACTATTACTCATGCAACAAAGGAGAACAGAATTGTTCATAGACTTAGTGATGTGTTGAGATAGAGGTTAGGAAAATAAGTTTGTTAAACTTTTATATAATAAAAGCCTCCCTGGAAACCCTTTATTGGTGATCTGTACTATTTCTCCAAAGAATCCCCTCACACTGTTCTCAAGCAAAATCTTGCAACATTTCAGCAAAAACAAACAGGTGTTAAACCCTAGAATTTGGGAACTAAACAGATGGGTTCACATGCATTAACCCAGCTGTTTGTAAACTGGGTTAGGGTGGTATGAAGATATGCAACCCCAACAGCCTCGAGATTGTGTTGCTGAATTTTGGCAGCAAAATTTTGGCCCAGCAATGTTTATCTTTTCTGCAATGTTAAAAGTTATTGTGGTTATTTGAGGCCACTTGGGGGATAAGGGTGGGGTTGTGTGCATCTTGCATGTAGTAGATCTCCTGCTTCCCTTCTTAGCCTTAGAACCATGAACAAATACACAAAAAAAGTAGCTGTGCCTTTCTAGGATGTTGTGACAAGCTGAATTGATTCCACTGGTTCCCCCAAGCATTGCCCATCTATGCATAGTATGAAGATGAAGACAACTGACTTGTTCAATAAACCATGATTAAAACAGTGCACCAGGCTAGAAACCAGGAGACTGAGTTCTAGTCCTGCCTTAGGCATGAAGCTGGTTGGCTGATCTTGAGCCAGTCACTCTTTCTCAGTCCTAGGAAGAAGGCAGTGGCAAACCACTTCCAAAAATCTTGCAAAGAAAACTGCAGAGACTAGTCCAGGTAGTTGCCAGGAGTCAACACTCACTCAAGACACAAAAAACTAATGCATGGCTGCATGAGGTATAAACAGAATTGGAGAATCCTAGGATATTTTTTCAATAGAGCAGCAGAAGATGCAGCAGACAGTTCTTCCCCATAAAACTGACAACAATCCAATGATTTCAAACTGGGGTTACTGTTCTAAACATCAGGATTTATTCACTGGTACCATTCATATATCACAATATGTCAAAAATAAAACATCTACCCATCCATTGTGGTTTATTTTACAGGAGACTTAAAGATTTAAGCAAGATAAAGATTTTGCAAAATTTTGTAATAAGCTTGAAAAAAGCCAGCCAAGGGGAGAAGAGGGTTAATCCTTCCTTCCCCTACTCTGCAGAGGTATCCTGCTTTGTGCAAACAATGCCCCTCCCACAGCCTGGTGTCTTAACCACTACACCAGACCACTATGCCTCCTCCTAAGTCAGCTGAGTGATACAGGATAGGGAGCTTGTGGGAAGGAGATGTTAAATCAGAACCCTACTGACCCCTCTCTGCTAGTCAAATGTTTTCTTGGGAAAACAGGTTCTAGAGGCAAGGACAACAGGCAGGGACCCAATGAACTGCCAATTCTCCCCAGTCCCTCTGGAGTACAAATCAAGGTTTCTTAAGGAAGAAACAGCATGAAGGACTCTACACTGTTCTGAGGGGGGAGGGGGGAACTGAGATGCTTCTGGAAATGACTTGAGGACATGTCAACATCTAACCTTGCCCTAACCTTTCCTACTTTAACAAGTGTTTTTATCCAGAACCTCAGAAGGTTCTATTTTCACTTAACCATATTGGATCCATGGAAAGAAAAGAAAAAAAAGAAAGAAAAACCTTGATGTGTGTTCCCAGTTTTGTGGTCTGTATTCAACAACTCCAGAATCAGCACTTGGGGTATGACCAACATGCCGTTTCATCCAGTCACATTGTGAAACAGCCATATGACGGTTCCTTTAAAGAAAAGATTAAGGAAATCAAACACAATTATTTAAAATACTGCTTGTGGGGGTTTAGAGTATCTGTCAGTAACTTCTGCCAGTGGGATGCAAGCAACAGTCTTTTGGCTTGCAAGGGAGTCTCTGGTAGATCAATCCTAGTTTGCCTAGAAGAGAATGTATACACAGTGTAAAACTGGACTTTCATTACACTGTAGCAAGCTATCCAAATTGTGCTCAAACTGACCAGCTTATTAGTGGGAAGTGCTGCATTGTGATGTGTTTATGTCCAAGCAGTAATTAGCCTACGCCTTCTCTATCTTATGAAAAACATGATGTTAAAGTCTTGGTTGATGAAAGTCATGATGAACAGTGGAAGCTAATATCTATGGTGACCTGGTGACGACTATGGCAAGTGGGAAATTGTGACGTTGAATGTAAGAGGAGTCAGCAGTAAAGAGCATGAATTAAGGAATGAAATGAATGGGAAGCAGTAGAAATACTTTGTGTCTGTGAAACTAAAAGAAACAGGAAGGATGAAAAAGAACTAAATGAAGGTGGTCTAATCCATTTGAAGAACATGTGCACGGAAGTGGTTGTTTAATGTATTTATGGATAAATATGTAGGAAATGTCTGTGATGGTGGTATGCCAGTTGGGGATGTCAACATACACGTACTTTGTAAGTAGACAATGTGTTGTTGGCCAAATAATTTGCAGTTGATGTTACACAGACTGTACACTGCAATGAGGACATGGTTCTGAAAATTAATCTTTTGAAGACCAAGGTAGTTATTTTTGACAGCAAAACAGATTAAAATATTGGAAGTTATAAATGGTGAAAAATTAGAGTAAGTAGATGAATTTGGTTTGAATTAGTTTAATCATACAGAATGAATCATGATTGAATCACAAAACAAGTAAGTGAAGAGGGGATTAACGGACTGAGAGAAAGGAGAAGATACAGGTAGACCTCAGGTTATGATGGCAATTGGGGCTGGAATTTCTGTTGCTAAACAATGCAGTTGTAAAGTGTAATGTGAGATGACCGCATCACTTAGTGAAGGCAATCCCGGCAGTCCTGGTTGCCATCGTAACTCCAGGACTGCATGGGTTGTCAAGCGAGGACCTCACATGACTGAGAGGTGGGAATCCCAGGCAAGCAGGCTGGAGGGCAAGAGCTATGGGTCGGTGGGTGGGTGCTGCGGGTGGGCACTACAGAGCATGGGCAAGAGGATGGTACTATGGGCAGGCGCTACAGAGAGCAGGCGGGCAGGCAAAAAAGGAGTGGGAGCAGGAGTGACTCACGGGAGTGACTCATAACCTCCCACTGGCTTCCCCATTGACTTTATTTGTGGGAAGCCGGGAGGGAAGATTGCAAATGGTGATCGTGTGACCATGGGACACTGCAACCATCATAATTGTGAGGCAGTAGCCAAGTGCCCAAATTGTGATCATGTGACCATGGGACACTGCAATGGGCACAACTTCGAGGACTGGATGTAAATCCCCCTTGTTCAGGGCTGTCATAACTTTGAATGGAAGTTGAATGAGTGGTCATAAGCCAAGGACTACCTGTAGAGAAAACTGCGGTTGGATGGAGTTGATAGAGATACCCAAAAAGAGAGGGATGAGAAATTCAAGCAAAACAAAGCAATGTATGGGTTTGGTGAAAGCCAGGATAATTTACAGGAATAGCATTATATGGAGAGGTATAATGAATAGTGTTTGTGTAGACTAGATTCAGTTAGATTTCCTGGTATCTAGTGCCTACAATTTCTGTTGCTTATTACTACTTACTCTTTTTTTGCACATCGTGTGACATTATTATGTAACGTTATTTATCTTGAAGGGAAACAGTGTGAGGGGTATGTCTGTATGTTGCTTGTAGGACAATAGGCAAGAACTGATAGCTATGGAACCCCATTTCACAGGCAGGAATTAGAAGGTACAAAATGTAAAAGATGCTGCAGGGCTCCATTTCAGCAAGCCACTTTGGAAAAGCAAATCACCTTTTTCCAGATGTTTCCTGAAGAGCAGAAATATAGTTCTTCCTCTCTATAGAATGTCCCCTGCATCTGTTAAATACTATGAAAAGAAAAAAAAACGTTGATGTTCTGTGTATAGATGTATAGATGTTATTTCTAAACATACTATTTCCATTAAAGTACAAGCAGCATCACACCTGATTTTTAAAACAGGCGGCTTTCTCCCCACAGGCAATTTTGCATCATGGGGCCCAGAGCAGGGCGCTTGTAAGTTTCTCTGGGCACCATCTAGGTTTGCAACAGAGAGACCAAGCTAGTTCTCTATTAGAAAGTAGCTGCATGCAAAACACATCATTTTGTCAATGGAACATTCTATGCCTCACTGTTTTGCACACCCCTACTGTAAAACGCAGTAGAGGTTACTGTTGACCCAGTATTAGACTACAGCAATGCACACGACATACAACATGAAAAATAAATCTTTAGAGGAAGCATTATGGGCCCTTTTCTCTATCAGTGCAATTCAGATTTCATACATATTACAGATGTTTCAGTGGCAAAGGGAGAGTTGTGGAGTTCTTTAATTTTAAAAAAAGTTTAACTTGAAGCAGCAATGGGAATGCTTTCTTTTCTAGACAACCTGATGGATTGTATCCCCAATATGATTTGTCTGATCAGGACTCAAAAATGTTTCTTTTTCCATGACAGCTTGTAAAACATGCCTGCAATTAATAGGTAGTTTTTCCATGGCTATCATATCCCACAATCCTAGTATTTTAATCAAGTAGGGCACCGTGGATTAGAAAGGTTAATTCACAATGCTCCTTTGTTAGGGCTTAATGTTTTTTTCTTTCTTTTCTTTTTCTGGCTGTGCAAACTGTTGCGTTTATTAGCTATCTACTGTTTTATCTATCCTACTGATTAGTGTGGGCAATAAAGAGCACTAGATTTAAGGGCACAATACTTACACTCTACTGCCCTGTTTGGATCCATTCCTTCAACATCAATAAGATACCTTAACACAACAGCAGTATATTAGCGATAGAAGAAAGGTAACAAGAAAAAATGACAATACAGGTAGTCCTTGCTTCATGACCATTCATTTAAGGACCATTTGAAGTTACAACGGCACTAAAAAATGTGACTTATGACTGTTGCCTGAAGTTACGGCTGTCACTGTGCCCCAGCGGTCACATGATCACGATCCAAACACTTGGCAACCAGCTTACACTTGTGATGGTTGCAGCATCCTAGGGTCACGTGATCACCATTTGTGACCTTCCCTGATGGCTTCCTACAAGCAAAGTCAATGGGGAACCGTGTAATTCACTTAACAACTGCGGTGATTTGCTTAATGACCGCCACAAAATAGGTTGTAAAATCGGGTCCAGTCTCATGATGATTCGCTTAATGACTGCGTTGCTTAGCAACCTAAATTCCAGTCCCAACTGTAGTCATCGAGTAAGGACTACCTGTGCATCGCAACCTCATTTACCAGACCTCAGTGCAGCAGACCAAATTTCCCCTCGAATTTATATCATCTGCGTGATAATGGATCATCTGGTGGGAAATCTGGTCTGCTGAATACAGTCCGTTGCACTGAGGTCCAGTAAAATGAGACTTTGTGCAGTTTGTGTCAGTTAACATTTGTGCAATGATGTCATCACACAAATGAGATAAATGAACACAAATAGCATCATTTATGTGATCCTCATCCCTCATTACTCCACTGAAATGTTTAATTATAACATGTTTTTAAAAATAGGCTCAGTTTAAAAAATGCATTATTAATTGGATAATAACCTTGAATAGTTACTGTGCATTAAAGACCAACAGAGAAATTAGACACATCACTAAATAAGAGTCTAACTACTAACTGCTTGGCTGAAATACTATTTCTTGGAAATACAAAATTCAGTAAGTGTGCACAATTTAAGAAATATTAAATACTTCCTAATTTCAACATTATTTTAAGGATTATAAAAATATGCCTACCAATTCTCTCCCTCTCACTGTCCTATTGAAATTGATGGATAAGCTCTCCTGGGAAGCACCTTTAACAAGAATCAAAGGTCCAGAGTCCTACCCAATGCAATACCTGGTGAAATGCCTGATTTAAGGCACAAAACCATATTGAGAAATTAGGGCCTCTGACAAATAGGTAAATCTGGGTTGCCTAGAAAAGCAATCAGCAACTTTTCTAAATGAAAACCCCACTTTTAATTATAGCATGTGATTTAAGTTTGCAACTGTAGCAAGAAATGTCTGTAACTTCTTCTTCCCGTCCTTCCTTTGCTCTTTTAAAGTATTAAGACTACCAGAAAATAATGCTGCTAGAGGGATTATAATTAATTGAGCTACAATCCAGTTTTAAATTGCAATCCATCAACTGAAGATAGACATAAACTAAATGACATTTATGCAGCAGAGATGAATTTATCAAACCAGACAGATGAATCCCCTTTGTTCCTAAGGAAAATTTACCTGCAAACAAGGTATCCTGTTCGATTCAAGCCATGTGTACAGTGGACTCCAATAAGTTTGTCTAGAGATAGGAAATGCAAATAATGTCTTTCTAAAGGCCCAACTACAAAGATAATTTTACTTTTTAGTTGCTTTTATACATGAACGAATATATCTGTTATTTTCATGTGTTGGAAGAGGCAGTAGTATTTATGAGCAAAAACTAGTAATGTGACGTGCAAGCTACTAATCACATACAGCACTCTTGACAAACTACAATATGCAGAAACTCTCTATGAAAATGGAGATGCATTGCATTATTTAATAGTGCCAGCTTAGCTTCTAGCCAAGGATTGACTGATATGTTCCAGAAGTAGTACAAGTATCCCTATTTCTTGTTCATTTCTTCTGTCTTTTCTTGCTTCAGTATCCAATTTTATTATTTCAGGGAATCTTTCTGTTTTTACCAGCCCTTTTCTGCTCAGTATTGTTTAGATGTGTTGGTAGATGATGGTTAAATGCAGCTATTTATGGATGTAAATTCTCCAAACTGGAAATAATTTGAGGTTTTCTAGGCTGGACTAGCCCCCAAAACAGACTTTTTTCATCCTCCTCAAACCACTTACACCTGGAAAAGTTATTTCCAGAAACTGCTGCACACCAACCCCCCCGAGATGGTCCAGGAACAGGTTCAGGAATGGAATGTTTTGGAGTTTAATAGAACATTCTGTTACTAAATCAAAAAGTTTGCACATCAGATCAGGCTCACCATTATGCTGGTTTTCTTTGAGGAATTTTTTTACAGCACTTTTGAATTTAGAAACTGTAGCATTATTAGGTACTTCATGTCCAACTGTTAAAATTTTACAATATTGCAGTGTATCTGGTAGTTCCTAAAAGAAAATGCAAAGCAGAAATGATTGAAGTGAATACCAAAATGGCCACTTAGAGAAAATAAATCAGTTATGATACCTATTGTACCAATTTCCAAGCTTACAATGCCTCCTTTTGTTTAGGGAGCAAAGGACTACAGAAAAGAAGCTAGTGACTCTTCTTGCATTTCCACCTACCATAACCGAAACTCCTGTTCCAACCCTACTAGAAGGATTCCAGTGCTAGAATGGTTTACCTTACTGGAATGATTTTGCTGTTTAGCTGTTTGGCTTTGAAACATTTCATATCACTATGACTGAAAACTTAAGTCTAGCAATCAGTATGCACCCTTTTCCTTGTCCCACCATATTTTCCATAGAGAAATTTCCTTTGAAAGCCTTGCTCAACTGCAGGATCAAGCAATGCTTGTATCTCATTGGATTGAATCAGAAGATACTCGTATACAGTAGGTCAGATAGAGCTTTGGAGTGATGTCCCATCAATATGCTGATACACTCAGTTCTATGGTTCCTTGCTATCTAACTCCAAGAGATTTTCTTGACTAATACTGATATCAAAGTAGACAGAAGTAAACCAGCTGAAACTAAATCCAGCCAAGATGGAGGTGCTGCTGGCTGATAGGAAACAGGGCTCTGGAATTGGGGTTCAACCTTCTGCAGAAAGTTGCACTCCCCTGAAAAAGCAGGTTTGCAGACAAGGGCTGCTTCTTGGACCTAACTATTTCTGGATTCCCAGGTAGCAATGGTAGCCATCACTACCTATCAAGCTCTCTCTGAGCTGGCTAGCTGTGCATCAGTCACCTATGTCTTAGTTACACCCAGACTGATTTAATACAATGTGCTGTATGTAAGGCTACTACTGAGATGTACCTGAAATTGTTCTCTGAGCACAATTTAAGGTGTTGCATTTGACCTTTGAAGTCCTAAACAGCTTGGGCCTACTTATCCATCAGGCTTCCTCTCTCAATCTAGACTTCAAAATGAAGCATTATGGTCAGCAGCAAGAAGGCCCTCCTTAAGGATATTCTAGTTTTTTGAGGTTCATCCATCAGACACAAGGGAAAGGGCCTTCTCCTGTGTGGTTCTCAAGCTGTAGTACACTGGGAGTAGATTTCTCTGTTTACATAAGGAATCAAGACCTTCCTCTTTGGCAAGGCTTTTGTAGTCTAAATTAGTAACAATGACTGTAATTGAATTAAGTTTAATTCCCAAACAGGATTCACACTGGAAATGGAGAGGAATACAAATCAATGGAACACATAACATGTCAAACAGACACCCAGTTTTAACCACTGCCAAGACACTGCTTAAAATTACTATATGCAGGAAAACAACTTCAACCTGAAAATCCTTTTTCTCAAAATTGCCTTTGTAATCCCAAACCGATGACTGTATTAAGAATTAAGATCATATAACAACTTACCCCTTTAACGCTGTTAAAGGAAACTTACCATTGGCTCATAATAGCGTGTTGTGTATGTTAAATCAATGATCAAACCAAGTTCCTCTTTCTGCTCTTTCACTTGAGTGATAAGGTCTAAGGGAGAAAAACGCTTATCTGGGGCAAGCCTCCATTCAAAACTCTGGAAAAAAAATTATCCAAGGTTGCTGCTAAACTCTCAGATACTCTAATACATATCAGAAGCAAAGCATAGTTGTATTTGCATAACCTTGTGTTACATGAGTACAGGTAGTCCTCAGTTAACAACTATAATTGGGATAGCCACAACTTTGAGGACTGGCCATAAGTTTCCTTGTTCAGCGCCGTCATAATTTTGAACAATTGTTGAACGAGTGGTTACTAAGCAAGGACTACCTGTATATGATGCAACTGATTAGTATAGGTGGTTCTCGCTTAACAATCATTCGTTCAGCAACCATTTGAAGTAATGGCGCTGAACGAATGGCAGTTACAACCCACCCTTGAAGTTGTGGCTATTGCAGTGTCCTTGCAGTCATGTGATTGTGATTCAGCCACTTGGCAGCCCACCTGCACTTACGACCGCAGGGTGCACTTCAACTCTCCCCACCCACCTATCTTTCCCTATGTCTGCCCTTTTGGCCGCCCTGCACTCCGCCACCTACCCCTGCAGCCATCTGCCACCCCCAGCTGACCTTTGCCATCTTTTTCCTTCTGCTGCTGTTGAGGTGTGCCTGGCTGAGGCAGCTGCTGGCCCTTTGCAAGGCCTTTGCAACCCCCACCTATCCCCCCCATCTCTGCCCTTTTAGTCGTGGAGTGCAGGGCACCCGAAAGGGCAGAGATGGTGGGGAGATAGGCGGGTTGGGGGAGTTGAAGTAGAGGTGAGTGCAGCAGGGCAGAAGAGTGAGGAGCTCACCTAGCAATCACAACTGGGACTACTGGAACTGCTGTCACTAAGCAGTGTGGTCACGTGATGTTTCGCCTAATGACTGCTTTACTTAGTGATGGAAATTCCAGTCCCAATTAGGGTCGTTATGCAAGGACTACCTGTATACACTTTTTTACCAGAGATATCCAAATGCCTGGGCTAAAATCTACCTATAATAATATTTGTAATCATTAATGGCCTGCTTTTTACTATTTCAGCAAATTTATTTTTCAAACAAACATTACAGAGTAAGGTGTTTGACACTACAACAGGGATCATGACAGGGAAGTTCCCTTGAACTCGAACACGTCAAATTCCACCTCTCTGTAACTGTCCAACACAAGAAGCACCTGCCACTAAAGCAACCACATCTGGATCGCAGCACAATACCAGCCAAAATAAAGAAAACCTACCCTAATGGCAGCACCCTGGAGTTGGAATGGTAAACCTGCAGACCCAGAAACGCTCACTCATCTGACCTCGAGACAAGAAAGGAGGCTTCTCCTTGGTCTTGGACAGCAATCATGTTAGGCTAGCCAGTACATATGAACCAAAACTGGCCTGCAAAACTTACCCCTAATTAATATTGTCAATGTTCAGGCTGAAATTCACTCTGTGGAACCCAATATTTAGGTTTTCATGCTTTTCTGGCAAAATACCTTTAGTCTCCATCAATGTTTGTTTATTTTTATTTATTTATATATTTATTTAGACTACTTTGCTCTACTTGACTCTGTGGCTTACAAATTCACTAATTTAAATTTGCTTTCTCTCAAAATATTTCTTCCCCTTGGGGGAAAAAAACTTAAAAACGTACACTATGTTGAAGCTACATATCTACAAATTGCTGATATGATATTGCCAGCAAATCCACCTACCCCCAAAGTGACATTTCTACGTTAAAAAGGTACTGAAAAATTAAAGTAATTGAGTGACTACATTCTGCACCTTACCTACCTTCTTAAGGGGAACTTTAAAGGCAATAAAGCGTGTTCCAGGCATTCTTTTTCCAAGAGGCAAGTAATCCGTCCATCTAGAAATGAAACTTCACAATTTATTGTTTTGGCTTCAACGTGATTAGGACAGGGTTGCAGTAAGGAAGGATAACAGAGAAGCTGGCAACTCTTTTGAGCCAGTGAACACATTTCAAACGTTGTAGGCATCTTTGGAAAACAGCTGTCACCCATTTCCAGAAATCAAACTATTGATGTTACTCCCTGAAATAATCTCTACCATCCCAAATTATTTGTGTCTTCTTTTCTGAGCAGGCAGACATATTTCCAAAGGAAATACTATGCTGCAGCAGATTCGGGAAAACTGCTTCCAGTCAGTGGTCTAATCTGTCTTGCCCGGTCGGCCCATCCAGCCCAGAAGGCTGCTCCACTCACCGCTGCTGAATGACTCGGTACACTTTAGCGGCAATCCTGCCCTTCCCTTGGAGAGAAGGAGTAAACTAACCCTGCAGAACAGGATGGCCGATGCCACAGGATTGCCATGAGCCACCCCACACCCTGCCAGTGAGAGAGCTGTGAGGGATCTCCTGCCAGTTCATCTAACAATTTCTCAAATGAAGAAAGATGCACATGCAGAATCTCCATTCATTTTAACCCTTAGCAACACACCCCTGGGCTGAGAGCAAGGGACTACAAGTAGTCCTCGTTTAGTGACCACAATTGGGACCGGCAGTTCTGTTGTTAAGCGAAGCAGTTGCTAAGTGGAAAATCATGTGTGCTTTCCTTTTCCCCACTCTCCTGCCCCTTGGAATGCTCACCCTAAGGCTGGGATAGCCAGCTGGCAACTCCTGCCTGTAACTGATAAGACTAATCAGTTTTACCTCTTCCACTTTTGTTTGCCTCCTAACAGTTTTACTCCAGCTTCCCTTTTTCCCCCACTCCCCCACCCTTTGGAATCTGCCGGCATAATTAGCAAGAAGAGAATTAATGTTTGTATTTAGATTCATTGGAGAGGAAGAGATTACAAGAGAGTAAGCAGGTACACAATGGGGGATACATGTTGAAAGGAATGCAATGGTGCCTCGCAGAGTGGAGAGATTGCTTAAACAAGTGGGGAGAGGAAGTGATCTCTAGGCAATCTCTCCTGTGCCTTTTTTTTTTCTCCCCCCCACTTGCAGAGTGGAGAGACTGGAGAGGAAGGGATTACAAGAGAGTAAGCAGGGGAATGTGCTGGGCTGTTTGCACAGCGTGCTCCTGACTCCTGGTGCCAGCACATTCCTTTTGATGTATATTCCTCATTGTGTGCTTGCTTACTCTCTTGTAATCCCTTCCTCTCCAATCCCTCCACTCTGCGTGAGGGAAAAAGAAAAACAACAGGTGAGGCACAGGACAACATATACTGATTGTAATGGTGATCATGTGACTGGGGGACACTGTGAAGGTTGTAAATGCGGGCATTGGTCGTAAAGTTATTTTTTCAGCATCCTTATAACTAAACAGTTACTGCACAAGGCAGTCGGTAAGCGAGGTCTACCTCTAGTTCACAGTACAAGATGAGTTGGTTCTTCTCAGTTGGGGTGGGGCCTCATTATGTCTAATTCCACTCTTGATGCACATATAAAGAACAGATTTGGCCCCAGTTCCTGGAAGGCTATTACTTTGCCTAGCAGTATGTGAGCTTCCCATTTTTTAACTTGCATTACATCAAAATATTTGAAAAATAAGGCACATCAAGCAATCTCCTCTTAACAGATTAACAGCTGAGAACGAATTGGAAATACTATGGGAAGAGGTTAAATATCACACATACAGCACATGATGTTTAAGTAAAAAACTTGATGCAAGGCAGCAACAGAAATGAATCCAAGAGATTTAGTGATGCCCCCACCAGGGATCCTAAAGATTTTAATACGGGTTGGGTGCCTTCAGTAAACCCTGAACTTAATCAAACCAGGTTTTTTTCCCCAAGTCCTGAAAATAATGAGAAAGGTTTCTGAACTTGAGTAGAACTGAAACTTTAATTCATCGGACGCTTATTTTAACTTGACTCTGGGGACGTTACAGGATCAGACGCGACCAGGGAGTCCCAACTTCAAGCCTCCGTGCGGGTCAGACGCTTCAGTCCGCTCGCGATTATGGGGGCAAAATGAGGGGGGCTCCCCCACCAAGGCTAGCCGGAGCCGTCCGACAAAGCGGGCCGTGCGCTGGCTCAGAGGCACCAAAGCGGGCTACTTCAGCCTCTTCCAGCGGGAACCGCGGCCTCCAAGGAACCG